GAATCCAAATATTCTCCGCAACACCCTGTTCTCAAATACCCTCAATGTGAGAGATCACATTTAACAAAACAAGTTCCATTATAATGTTCTCTTTAAATCTTTTTGTTCTTATCGCAGCCGGGAGAACAAAAGATCCCCCAAAATACCTCCTTGTAATTTATGATAACATTTTAACTCTTCCTAGCGGTACCAATGATATGGCTGTGCACACCACAGAGTCCTGTTCTAATCTGATGGATAAGTAAGCAATTCGACGCCAGTATATTCTGAATATTATGCCTATTTTTATGCACTTGTAAAATAATTATTTCGGAATGAACTAAACGTCATATTTTCGTAATACTTTTCCATGACTACTGATGACAACAAACTGGAACGCATTCAGCAGAAGTTTGCAGTGCTGTGCTATAATCCTTTCCTCCCCCATGTTAATGGGCAGTATTTAAAATTCAAAATCTTAACGCAAGAGGATATATTGCATTGATTCATTGTTCCTTGTCCAAGTTCACCGTAGTTTAAAATACTGCCCTTCCCTCCTGGAAGATGTCGGTCTCTGCATCCCTGCTTGGAATCTGAGAGATTTTTCTATGTTCAGTTTTAGCCCTTTGATCAAAAACAGTCCCTCTGCTAGATGCACATCAGCTGCTGATGTCGTCTGCAGGGACTTGGACATATTCGAGACGAAAATTGTCACACTTAATTACATCCTACAATAATCTAATGTACTTAATTTATCTAAATTATTACTACAAATATACCAATGTATTTAGTAGCAATTTTTCTTTGTGTATGGGAGTCCTCTGCACTCATGTATTTTATATTCCCTTTGTTGTTACATTCTTATAATCATTACTTTGTTCGTGTGTTCGTCTCTGTGCTGTATCTGTAATTGGCCTTCTGGCTGTTGACACAGTACATTAATAATAAAGAATTGAATTGAAATTAGCATATTAAGTAATCAACTTTGGCTGGCGTGTTCACTCTGTTATGAACAATTATACCAGTCTTCGAAAACAGGAATCATGTGTCCCTGGCCCTGGGGCCAATAGCGTAGGGCATGGGGTCAGTGTGCTAACTGGCATTATTCCGTGGTAACTTATTGCTTTGTTGCTCTGCACGTGTGTTTTCGACTTATGAAACGAGTAAATGAACCACTGACAGGAAGACGAAATCCTGTATCCCGAGCCAGTTGAATCCAATTCACAGCTATCAGTTCTCTAAGATCAGTTTAATATTATCCTTCTCGGTATTCAAACTGGCACCTTTCCAAGAGGAATGGAGAGAATTGATCACAACCAGACAACACACAGAGACTGATGATGCTCAGAATTAGTACAAAATTGATGACTGCCTTCTGCAATGTTGCGTCAGGTTGCCTGATAAAAATCGATAAATGTTTCAGAGGTACTTACCGCCTCAGTCATTAGGGCGATGGGAACACTCTCATCACCCCGATTATACAATAAGCATCCCTGAACACTTCCTACCAGACTACACAGTGCAACATCCCAGAACACAGCCGTCTTCACACACGTCACCACGAGAACCTGGTATCTCACCCAGTACAAACTTGTATTAACATCCATAAGGTCAGGGCTGACTTGTTTCATTGTGTCCAGGTGTTTGAATCCATGAAGAAGGCCTGTCCCAACTATATGACCAAAGTGAGGGCTGTGGCCGGTGACTGTGGGTTGCCCGGCTTGGGCCTCGGAGAAGCAGATCGCGAGCTGCTATGTCAAGAAGTGAGAGTCGTGTTCCATATCGCAGCAACTGTCCGGTTTGATGAAAAGCTGAAGACAGCTGTCCACATCAATGTCAGAAGCACGAAGCACCTGCTAGAGCTCGCAAGGCACATGCCACATCTCAAGGTACAATCTCAGAATGCCTGGAATCGAACATGGTCCTCCAGTCTGGAACTAGTGTTCTTGCTACTTATAACTGCATCTGGGAGAAACCGCTGACTGGACGATCATTTAAAGACACTGTAACATTGTTGAATCACTTTTAGTGTCACTTGAGAAAAAGACAAACATGGTTTATTGAAACTGCAGTGAGTAAAATGTGTAGTCCAGTTCTTTGGGAATTGATGTTATTTGCTCTTAAGTCCCTGAACTAAAAGCTTACCACAAGCTACAAGAAAACAAGTAAAGAGAGAAGCAGCTCACCAGGTTGTGATGTCTGAAGCTGGCAGTGGCTACAGCCTGGATATCCTTACTAGTTTCAGTTTCAATTTAGAAAACCATATTTCTGTAAAATTTAACTTTCATTACAATGCTATTTCTAATTTTACATAACATGCCAGCCTGGGCAGTGCAGCTGTTTTATCTATGTATCAAAAATTCCTTCAGCTGTTCTGAAATGTGTTCAGTTTCCAATCCCTGTATTCATGCCAGGAGTTCTCAAACGTTTCCAGACCTGGGGCCACATTCAACATTTATCAATTAGCAAGCTACAGGCTTTTAAATTAGGACAATTTATTGAAAGGGCAATGTACTTTATTCAAACGGCTACGTTATACCTACTGTTGCAAACAAGCACACATGAAACTCAAGAATTTTCTTTAAAAAATTAGTAATTACTGAGATATCTGGCACTGATTTTGCTTCAGTAATCTCTCAATACCAAGTCTAATTTCGGCTTCTGAAATTTGCATTTTTTTCCCTCCATGTTCATCATTAAAATGCATCCTAGTTCTTGATTTAACATTAATTTAAACAGTTGCTGTGACACGTACAACCAAATATTGATGACATTAACAGCAGAAACAGTCAGATAAAAATCATCATTAGCCAGCTACAGCCAATCAAGTGCTGTTAGCCACTGATTAGTCCTGCTCTGTTCCAGTGTATGGAGTTGCACTTACGCAAAGTGTCAACCAGCTAGGCCAACATGGTTAGTATGAATGTTCCACCCCTCTTCAGTGGTGTCATCCAACGGTATATGCTTCAAAGTGCTGTGGATCAATGCAAGAGAAAGTAATTTAAGAATTTTAGTGCAGTATATTTCATAAACCTAACAATAGGACCGTATGGAAGAGGAGAATTGAGGAGGCCATGGACCAAATACGGACCGGAGAGCCATTGAAGAAGAAGATATTTCTAAAATATGTGATGGGTTTAAAATTAAATAAGATTCTGATTCAATTCACAAAGAGACTGTTATAGATATAAAACCAAAATAATATGTTGCAAATTCAGCAATGATATTTACAAAACAGATTTTATTTCACACACATAGCAAGACAGTAGCAATGAAATGAAATAAAAATTGTGAAGAACAGTGAATGATTCTGTTACTGGCATCATTATCATCCTCTCACATATTAGATCATTTAGCCTGTTATGGCTTCACGCCATTTCTTTAGTCGTCTTCCTAACCTTCAATTCTTTGGCTTGTATGCCACAGTAATAAATATCTTTATGAAAGCTGAAATGAGGACATGGTCCTGCTAAGTGGCTGTTTGCCAACAGTATTCTACGTTTAGTTAGGCCTTGGGGTTGTATAATGCCTACATTGATGTAATGTTTAAGCCATCATGACCTGGTCCCCAGACCCTTGGTTCGCTGCTAGTGAAGTATCAAAAACAGGTTGTACCATGAGACTTTGAGGCAGAGAATTTAACAGAACGGGCTACTGGAGGCACCTCTTATTCCTTGCAACCATAATTGAGTCTGTAATGTTGCCAGTTATTCAGACAAGAACAGAATCAATTGCTCAAAGACTCTGCATTTTGCATCTTTCTTATTTTCTTCTCTTTCATTTTCTTTTATACATTTGGAATTTTCCTTGCCTTTGCAAATGGTGTTTTTCTTTCCAGTCGTTCATCCATGTATCATCTGCCTTTGCACAATGCCCCATTAAACACATTGAGGAGAAGTTCTATCCAGTGCCTTTGCAGTGTCAAGAAGTATTACAGCTAGTGGACCTTCTGGATGAAGATGTGCTGTCCATTATGACTCCAATGTGAGTATGGAAGTCTTGAACCCTCTGTTGACATTTGGTGTGCCAGATCCCAATCACTGAAAAAATATATAAATGTTCACATTATGAACCACACATTTGATCAAAGAACAAATAAGAAATTATTTCAGAAAAAGAAAACTCCTCCGTTTTGGGAAAATGACAAAAATATACTTGAACCCTTACTAAACTATAAAATAAGCAAACAAACAAACTATTAACACTATAACATTATAGTTTTAATAGTTTATTTGGTTGCTTAATTTATATTCTAATACACTACATGGTATGCAAAGTTTTAACCTTACTAAACTGTTTCCCTGGTTAAAGTTTTCTGAAAATATAAAATATTATATTTTGTACTTCATATATTGAATACGTTACGATGCAAAATGTTTAACTGTACTATACAAAATTTTGTTTATATAAATATAATTATTATTGCAAGTTTCCGCAGGCACATTTCTACAAACACTTAAATAACCCCTTCACAATTACAACGTACAATGGACTGTATACCTACCGCAGGAACTTACGACATGTGCTACAGAAGCATAAAACCCTTGTGTTTACATGAAAACCAGTGTAAAAATATATAAACTTGTGGTTTACGTAAGTACAGCATTCCAAAATTCTTAGACATCTAGAGTCAGATACATGTATTTTCTTCACAACCCAGATAAACTCAGTTGGGTAATAACAGGATAAAATAATAAATATTGTCCTGGATAAACTCAGGTAAATATAGTATTATTTAAACAAAAATCATCAACCTGAGATATCTTGGAATATTCAGGGAAGTGATTAAGCTACAACTACCGGATAATAAAAAGGATGTAATATAGAAATGTTACACAAACAACATAGGTGTTTTATGTCATAAACAGTCTCTTCATATACTGAGCCAGTTTTTAAATAAAGAAAGTAAAGTTTGAAGTATGGCCTTCCTTCTTTTGTTTGCTGCACTGCAATACAATGTAATATTATTTCTTACTCCGCAACCTGTTGTCATCTGACAAAGCTAAGAATCCATGGATGTGAAGAAGATACACACAAACACACAGGAGGACTTTTTTCGTTACCCAGTATCTTATATTGCACCCCCAGATGGCTGGAGTTCTGAATGATGAAATGAACGAAAATAAGACCAGGAGGTGTCAGGAGAAAGCACAGAACTCAGTTTCTAAACAAATATAACAAGTTTCTGCCTGG